CGAGCGGGAGGAGGAAAAGGAACCCCGCCGCCGCCGAGCCGCGCGGGCTTCGACCGGCGACTCCTGCCGGCGGCGGCGAGGGGGGGGGGGAGGCGGCGGGGTGTGGCTAGTGGCGACGGCTAGGGTTCGCTCCTGGCCGCTCGCGGGAGCGACCGAGGAGCCGGGCTCTAAATTGCAGTGCGCACCAAATTTTAGCAAGTGTTATTAATGTCTTCAATACCAACGCGGCACATTTGTAATTTTGTAACTAAATGCAAGGGAAAAACACTTGACGGTATCAACTTGCTGAATCCAGTGATGATTTTCTGACCGGCGAAGGCAACATAACTAACGACTTACATATGATTCTTATACGAGACCAAATGAAGATGTGGTGTCCAAAAAAAAAATTCTATGATTAAGCTCCCAAGAGAGGATACGGAAAGGAAAATTGAGAGAAACGAGACTTGTTCTGGGTTGTAATGGTAACCATTGGAATGTTACTACTTCTCAATACATATGCTTGTTATGGGGTGAAAATGTGCAAAGGAGAATGTATGTGGTCTATCGTCCTGCACTCTGGGGAAAGCATCATGTGATACCACACTATTAGTGATACCATGATCCCACTACATAATAAATTCGGAAGTTTATAAAAATCTGAAAAATTGGGAATGTTCACATATCTACAATCTCTAAATGTCCCAAATCCGAATTCTATCTAAATACAAATGAAAAGATAAATCTAGACGTGAATAGTGTCCGGTGGTGCAACCAAAGCAACCCCGTGAGTTTTATTCCATTGTCTTGGTGCATTTGTTCTATCGCCCATGTGCAGGTCTACCATAAGTCTTAATAATTTATATGCTTTTGCTATTCAATTTTGTCAACTATAGTTTTAAAATCATCAAGATCAAGTGCACCTAAGGCACAAAAGCAGAAGATGATGCTCTATGAGGTTCTACAAAGAACGATGACCTATGGGGTGCCATCGCAGCACCCCCACCAGGAACGAATGTGGGGCATCTGGCAACTGTGATTCATCCTCAAAAGTTAGTGGCTAAAAACCCATCCCAAAATTAATTCAAAAATTCATAGGCATTGGGAGATTGGCATCTAACAGATCCGAAACTTAATTCCCAAAAAATCATAGGTATTGGGAGTTTGACATCTAACCCATCTCAAGAACTTAGTTATTTAAAACAAAGCCTTCGCTATTTATCACTTTGTTTTGCAGACTTTATATCACATTTGAACTAATTTTCCAAACGATTCGCGTGGAACTCCATGCGGCGTTGCGCCCTCCCAGCGCTAACTCCTTGGGAACGGCCAGCTCGGCTGTTATTCATCCTCAAGGTCGAGGGCGGCTTTAAATTTGAGAGGGCAGCAGACTTGGTACAGGCTAGTCTGTCAAACCTGACTATCTATCAAACCCAGTTGAGTGTACTATGTGCATCTTCTTGAAAAACTGAGCAGGACGGTTAACATTTCGCCATACATTCATTTCGATCCTTCTTATGGGCAGCCAAAAATAATAATAAATAGTTAGCCTAACTTTCAATTGTAGTTGGTTTGTGCACCAAGGACACAACAGGTCATCGTATTTTGCATGTACAGCAAAAAAAAA